TCCAACAAAGCTCATACACAAGCCTTTTTTGATTCAAAAAGTAAACTTATAATAAAGATGAATTTTTACACTACATGCAAGAATCGATCGTAGTGGTACATACGTTATGATATATAATTCAATGGGCGAACCAGGCTTTGTTCAGTTTTAAACAGTCAAAACATTGTCATTGGTTATACTAGACCATACAATTTTAATAATATTAATGTCAAAATTCATTGAATTTTCGATGCCTACTAATAATTATGCCTGCGTAAAAATCTGGAACACAGCTATTTGCGTGCATTTTCTTGGATAACTTGACAGAGATAATATAGTACAACGTTATAACAGACACGGACGTGCGGGCCTGTTCTAGTTATACTGAACGCTTCAAGGCGATGATTCAAACCTTTCGCCTTTCGTGGAATTCTCAATATAGGTGACCTCTGTCGAACGAATACCTGATGTCTAATATCGATACTATGCTCTTTTCCTTCGGTTTCCGTATAGAAGGGAAGTTCAACTTTAGCTTCTACCACTAGCAAATATAACGAGTTAATAAAATTAGCCTTTCTCACGATGACGAATATCCGCCATTTTTGGGTGGCATTTAATTCTCGTTAACTAACGCAGACAATTAAAAAATGGGAAAAAGCAATTTTTCAAAATCATACTAACCATTTACAAAGCAAATCTACCATCATTCCTCCAAAAAATTATAAAACGTCGCTGTTATGTGGACTTATCTCCAAGACGTCGCCTGAAAAGCCACCCAAAAATTAATGGCGGCGTGAGAAAGGCTAATTGCAATTCAACAATTTAAACATGCATCATTGACATCCGCTTTCTTCCAAGTTTCATTATATGATTGGCAGAAGTCTTACAGCTTCAAGGCTTTCCTTAAATAAAGTTAATAGAAGTATTTGCTTTAGATTAGGTGTAAAGTTGTTTTAAATTTACCCAAACCTCCAACCTGGCACCCAGGCTCGAGGCGCGTAGTGGAAAAAGCCTGGGTACGAGGTTGAATCTCTTTTGGGGGAAGGGAAAGATATTCGTGATATGAATAAGCGCTGATAGACTGTCTGATATAATCAAAACCCTTTATTTTGTGATTTTTGTCCCGTATTTCTATGTTCTGATAAAATATTTTACCAATACACTCATAAATATTTATGATCGTGCGAGGAAAATAAATCAAACAGTTCTAATATGAAGGGGATTGGGGCTTGATAAACTTCTCTAAAGGGGGGGGGGAAGGAGGGGTTATTAGAGAAGGCAACTTCTTTGAAATTAGCCGTGAATAAGGAATTAAATTAATAAGTTTTGGCCATTTTTCAAAATAATTATTTTATATTAAAATTAATTTGGTTGAAAATAATTTTAACAACTATTACAACACTTTATAAAATTGCTTTCTCAGCAAAGTTAATGAGCACAATTTCATTCATAACACATAATATGAAACGGCCTTTTGCGTTTACAGTAATTCCATGGAACTATTTGGTGTCTTTGCCTTCTTCGTCGCTTCCGCCTGAATAGATATAAGTTGTCTGCATGTTTCCCTCGCGCACTAGCTCTATCAGGGGAATATCCCTGGGTGGCAGGACCGTCTTTACAACTCCATGTATACCAGCCAGTTTTTCCGTCTTGTTTAAGATTATTTGGTCTTCTAAATAGCCAACTTGACGACGGACAAGGAAACTCTTTAATAAGAAAAATTAAAATATAATTAAAATATTATTAAAATAAATATGATAAAACCGTTGGGTAAGTTCTCGCCAATGTAAAAACTACAAAATATGGGTTTAGTCCCAACAACGTAGAAATAGTTTTGAACTGTCGGTGCCATGCAGCGTAGACGATAACAGCTACGGAATGAGAGAGATGTCAGAAAGATATGAACAGAACTTCAACGTTTCGAGCTTCGCCGGAAAGTTAGTGTAGTACCACTTTGTTTCACTGAACCGTTATCATGCAGGCTTTCATGGTTGAAAAGGCCTTGTTGAAACTTATATTTACTTGGTTGATCAGGTGTTCTCCTGAGTAGTATTACGAAAATATTGGGAGGAGCGCAGTGTCCCCGCCCACTCACCACTCACTCATCCCATGGAATGATCTATACGCCCGTATTAATTCTAAAAGTTCACTCGCATTCAAAGAGTGGAGGTTCAATCTGAGCTTCATTTCATTGTCAATGCTGTTTTTGAATAGCTGGAGGGTGCGTAGTCACATGGTAAGGTACGAGGCTAACCCTCCAGCTATTCAAAAACAGCATTGACACTCAAGGGAAGCTCAGATTGAACCTCCACTCTTTGAGTGTGAACGAGCTTTTAGAATACGGGCGATAGTCTTTTCATTGTTAGGAAACTCCCATAGGGCTATTCTTTCAGGTCATTTTCAAATAAACGTCGACGCCAAGATATAAGCGAGAATTTATCGAATTCTCGGGATTTCATATGACGTTTCGTGGGGGTCAAGGGTAGAGGACGGGTTTTATATTGTTTTGCTATATATAGTTAGTGTGAAAGTTCTGTTTGCCAATTGGCCAAAACCGTATCACGTGCCGGTCCACAAAACTTCATGTTCACTACATGCTTTGGCGAGGAGGCAACCGGTCCACAATGAAACATTTATTGACCGGTCAACAAGAATGTGTGCGATGCGCATGCGCGTCAACCATGAAGTTCCGAAGTTCGGTTAAACTTTTTATTAAACATTTACTGCATTCCATTTATCCAGTTTTGGTTTCAAATTGAGTCCACTCCGATAACCGGTGAATTATTCATACTTTGACACTTATATACTATATAAGGGAGTGGTCATTATTTATGGGGAGGGGGGGGGCAAACGAAGTTTTACCCTTATAAATAGGAGGGTCAAAAAAGTTTTAATGCAGAGAAGGGGAGGTCAAAAAAGTTTTTGAACTTAAATACCATGTCTAGAGTTCTAATTTTTATAATCACAAACAGCAAAAAAGAAGACTCTGAAAATGCCATTTCCAACGATCTAGAGACTTAAAATTTTCAAAATTTCCCTCCTCGTCGGGCCCACTAAGTTTAACAAGCTTCCTACCCCCTGAGTGACCCAGTTGTGGTATTTACATAAACATACCATGCAAGTACACTTAACTGATCAGAATCGGTCTATCAAAGCACAATGTAACGCTGTATATCCAAAAATCTGTTTCAGAAAATGCTCACATTTCAGTCCTAGGGGTGAAAAAATACAAAACATTTTCTGAGTGAGAATACCCCCAGCAAACTTTTTGTCACCAACAACCATCTGTCATCTCTCCACACTCAGTATAGTATGGTCCCTTTTTGTAAATGCTCACCCCCAGACAAGTTCTTAAAAAAACCCTGTGTTCAAATCATTTCGCTGTATGAAGACGGGTCATGGGTTAGGGTTATGGTAGGACAAATGTTGCATTGCAAAGTAGTAACACATAATATATATTTTTTAATCATATATGGTTGAATCATATTCACCAGGGTAAAACATCATGAGCTAGATTAAACAGATTGTCCTAATATCTAACTTTACCTGCAACGCACACCTGTTTCATTGCTGTTAATTTTCAATCCACACTGGGGGGGGGTCAGAAAAGTTTCTACTTTTATGAGGGGGGAGGCACAAAAAGTTTGCCTTCAGTCTGGAGGGGGGGTCAAAAAAGTTTTCAATCCTTATTTTCCCCATTTCCCAACCCCCCCTCCCCATAAATAATGACCACTCCCTTATTGGCAAATCATGTCACTGAACCGTAATATGTCACGTGCAGTGGCTTTAAACCTGATAAAACACTCCTAATTAGTATTCTTTATATAAGGAATACTAATAGGCAGTATCTATTGAGTTAAATTCTTCGGAAAAATGTCTATATGAATGGAGAAAGAGCAAAAAAATTATCTATATGAAGTACTGTAGAATCCTCAGCAGGTAGGTAATGTGGGCGCGTATGAGGTAATAGCATATAATTAATAATAGATAAATTAATAGAAGGGTTAAAACACCGGTCACTGATCGTTCGATGTTTATTACGGGAGGCTGCTTCATTTACTGTTCGGAGTACTCCGGGAACACTAATTAAATCGAACCAGTAATGGTCACATGACTGTTCTGATGGTCACATGACTGTTCTGGCTGCCCCTACTTTTGAGTAGGGGCAGTCAGAACAGTCATGTGACCGTTTTCGGTTCGATCCAATTAGTGTTCCGAAAATCCGGAGTACTCCGCAAGAGTAGCCTATCGACTCGGAGATTTCCGATCGCAGTTCGGAAATGCATCTCAAAGCTATTTTTGATTATAGAGCAATTTCTGATTATTTACATTTTTAAAAACTTAATATTGAAACTATAGTCTATACCGGCGCGAACAAATCAAAATCTGAATGCAAATCCGAGCATCTCACGAGTGCCGAACTTCATCCGACTGGATAGGTTACTCTTGGTACACATATCGCAAAAATTGCGAAGAAACTACTTGCTGTTAAAAATCATTTAAATGTTTATCTATGTTATTGCTTTACCAGATATCTTTGTTTGTCTAAGAGAATGCTAAATACGTTGTAAAATAATCAAATTATGTCGAAACGGTTAAATTAGAAGCATTTTAAAAAATCACGTGACCGGTGTTTCAACCCTTCTATACTGTATATTACTTTATCTATTATTTTAAAATGCTATTACCTCATACGCGTCCGCGTTACTTTCCTGTTGAGGATTCTATAGTACTTCATATAAATAATTGTTTTGCTCTTTCTCCATTCATGTCGACATTCTTTCGAAGAATTTACTTTTAAAGTAGCTTATTATTTTGATTATTTTACACTTGTCACTGACAGTAGTTGAGCCCTCTGTGTGTAAACCCAAAACTTTCAATTTTTCAACAGGAAGTCCGCTGGAAAAATGAGCCTGTTGTACTGGGAGAAAATTTCCCGAATATGACCAGCCTGCGCGCGGGGGAATAGGGTACTTCGAGGGGTAACGTAACGTTCAAGATGACATATATTTGTTGTTTAGGATATCAAACCAGCGGAAACCACAAAACATGAGAGAATACTTCATGTAATTAGTATTGTTGGATGTGCGCTCTCATTGGTCGGACTGACCTTGACAATAATAACGATACTAATAATAAGGTAAATAAAAAATGTTTAGTATATACAAGAGTTGGCAAAAGAAGAGCCCTCCCTTACACAAAGTGGAAAGAGACAAAGAAGTGTCATAATTTTTTTAGTCTTGAATACCACTCTTTTTTATTTCATTAATAGAGAGAGCTTTGCCACATATATACCGCCATCAGTTCTTGATGTTTCAACGCAATTATCCTCATGCAGGTTTTTTCAAAATTATGGAAATCCTCTTTTATGTGGGAGCTCTTTTTTGCCAACCCCCTTGTATATATATAAATGATGATGTTAGAAATGACAAAACATTTCGACCAAACTAAATTTGTATAATTTGCAGGCATTCATAGCCAGAAGTCCTAAGAAACTTTTTCTAAACAGCAAGCTATGTGATATTTCTAAACATACATCAAAAGATCAATTTGTCAACATATTGCTGCTTTTTCTCTGCTGACATAACAGCTATACAACATTGGACATAAGTGGTTGAGACTATACCAGAAAGTTGACGTTACTATAGGGGCGAACTTCATTGTTGCTAATGTAAAACTTCCTCTACCAATTAATGAGAATGTGAGGTTGTTATACGTTGTGCTGTAAAATAAGTAGCTACCTTGACGCCATGTTCGAACACGATTCCGGGAAACATTGTGAATTTAATTTTACAGCACAACGTAAACAACCTCACATTCTCATTTGGTAGATGAAGTTTTACATTAGCAACAATGAAGTTCGCCCCTATAGTAACGTCAACTTTTATCCAATAAACATCAAATTTGAAACAATGAGCAAATGTTTAGTTTATGCACGCCTCACGGTCAGTTGCAAATGGCTGTATGTGCTGGGGAAACGGAACAGATGGTAAATTGGGGCGAGCGAAGCGCCTCCCGAAAGAAATTTTAGTGGCAGAACTTATTATTGTACTTTTACATTTTAGAGAACTTCGTAGTACACTTCCAACGAAGATTTTGTTGAACTACTGCATCGCATTGTCATTAACGTTAATCGTGTTTTTGGCCACGCCTGAGGGATCAAAGTCGTCATCATTAGCCCGCTGTAGGACAGCGGCAGTCGCCTTGCATTACTTCTTGTTAGCAGCGTTTTTGTGGATGGCGGTAGAAGCGCTCAGTTTGTATCTGGCAATAATCAAATCTCGTAAAATTGATTTGTATCCTTGCACGTTTTTGTTGAAATGCTGTGTATTTGCTTGGGGTAAGACACAAAATTTCGGATAAATGCATGTTTTCTTTAACTAAACGAAGCTATAATAGACATTTAGACATAATCTTGACACCTGTTTTGCTGAAATAACAATAGATTATTATTTACTAAAACTAACAAAAATTGAAAGAAAAAACACTAAGATAAATGTAGATTTCAATATCTGCTACAGAAATGTAACAATACGAAATTCCTGGACATGACACTGGCGTCACCCACTTTTTCAAAAACTGTATTGCTATTTAAGGGAACATTCATTATTTATGACCGGGCGTGGGCTGGCAAAATTCGATTAACAACTAAACAAAATGTCCTGCCCCCCCCCACCTGCATTACTATGTTTAAACTACCTAGTATACGCTAGTGTATATAGTATACGCCAAACTCGCTCTGGGCGTAATGTTGCTACATCGCTTACTCGTTATCGTGACTGTCTTTTTTATTAAAATCAAAATGTACATCTGGGAAACATGACATAAATTTATGGCAAAGTTATTGTTTTATCGATTTTTTCAAATTAGCTGCGCGCATTGCATTTTGTGTATTTTCGCATTGCATTTTGGGTCTATCTTTTGACTGAAAATTGAGCATTTCGCCAGCTACATGCATGAATTAAATTTGCTGCCTTGCTCGCTCCCTGCTGTAGCAATAATCGTTACATGCAATATATAAATAATGAATGGTCCCTAAGAAAGCTTATTATTTTGGTCGTAAATAATGAATGGTCCCTAAGAAAGCTGATTATTTTGGATTCAAAACTCGTCCCTATATTTTCACGATTACTGAACGAAATCATTCGGATATATAGTTGGAACAAGTAGATCTTCAAAAAGTTGTTTAAAGTTCTTTACCATAGACCAATTGCGAAACTTAGTGACCGCGCCTTAAACTGCACGAAAACGAGGCTTATTATGCAAAAACAAATCATTCTGCTATATTTTTATATGGGGAAAAATAAATTTCAGTGTTTGAGACGCGTTTTTATGGTAATCTCTTCATTTTTTCAATATTTCTGTTTTGACTATGTAAATCTTTATTAAACTTGTTCATAGATTTAGTCTTACTTCAAATTTCACTGTTTTTCGCGGCGTGCGAGGCAAAGTTTTGCTGTTTTTCGCCGTCCGAAAAAAGAAGCAGATTATACCAGAGAAAGAATCAGGTATTTTCCGTCTGTTTTATTAATATATTTCAAAGAATAAGTTGTAACATTGATTAATTTTGTTTCAGTTGTAATATAATAGCAAGTTTTCGATTTTAACTTTAAAAATATGAAAGTAAATGTCGGGCAAAATTTGTAGAAATTTTATGTTATTACCCTTTGACAAAATCGTTTTTTTCTCGCACGAAGTCTAAAAAATCTGGGTAGAAAGAGTTATATTTTAGTTTGTTAAGTTATACTGGCTATTTTATTTGCATCTTGATCTGATTTTAAAGTCTAGATTGATCTTTTCCATATGTTTGTTCCATCGCATGCTAAAACAACAACGAAATATCTTTCCAAAGCGGGTAAACTGAATATAGTGGGAAATCGATGTTTAGATAAATTTAACAAATATTTATATAATCTAGTACGAAATATTAAGAAAAGATCAAAGAGATTCAGGAAAAAACACTTTAAAAAACCTAAAATTCACTTTTCGCTATATTTCGTTTTGTTCAAAAGCTTGTTTTGTGTTTGGCGAGCCATTGTCACTTTGTCAAACTAAATAAAGTTTACTAATAAGTAAAATAAGTTAGAAATAAAATAAAAGACAGTCAGAAGCCAGTAGAAACGTTCATGTTTTATGACGTCACGGTGAAGGAATGCAGCGTAGAACTTGTATGTTATTTTAAATAACATACAAGTTCTACGCTGCATTCCTTCACCGTGACGTCATAAAACATGAACGTTTCTACTGGCTTCTGACTGTCTTTTCAACTTCCGGAAAAGACACTCTACTGATTTCGGTAATATAAAAATATAGAAATTGATTTGTTTTTGTATAATAAGCCTCGTTCTTGTGCAGTATGAAGGCGCGGCCACTAAGACCCCGTTTACACGGTACCGGACGAATTTGTGACCGGACGAAAATTCGTCCGTTTCGGCCGTGTAAACACACGAGGACCACGGAACCGGACGAATTTGAGACCCCCTAACAGGACGAATTCGCGTCTAAACAGGCGAAAAAGGACGAATTTTCGTCCGGTCCCAAATTCGTCCGATACCGTGTAAACGGGGTCTAAGTTTCGCAATTGGTCTATAGCCTAAGGTCCATAAAGGAATGCTTCTCATCTCTTTTTGATTTATACGTATTTTAGGTACACCTGCGGTAATCGTAGCTATAACAATGATAGTGGCTCTGGACAAATATGGCGACGAGAGATTGTAAGTAGAGTTTTGGTTTAGTCTTTAGTTCTGTATAATGAAGCCTCTATACAGCCAGTTACGGACGAGGGACACGTTTTCTATGACAAGTTTTCATGTGACAAGTTTTATTTGCTCCTCTGTAAAGGCAACTTTGCCATGTTTTACTATGACAAGAGTATACTTGCTGAAAACCTAGTATGCTAGCTTCAATAAGTGCATAGAATAACCAAACCTTTTCGATATAATTACATGAATATGTTCTTGGCCTGGGAGCTTCATTTTCATGAATCGTGAGCCAATCACATTCGGGTCTTGATTCATGAGAACGAGGCTCCCAGGCCACTGAACGTATTCATGACGTAATTATCAAAAAGGTGTATTGGGAAAGTGCAAATTTTGTTCGTCTGTATGGATGCGTCAACAAAGAAAATTTGGCAAAGTAATTTGGGTACTTGCGTGCGGTTCGACAGCGATGTTGTTCGTAGGGTTCTATTCCCGCCCGGAGGGCGTGTACCGATGTACCGTATACGAAATACAAAACAACGGCCGAAAATGAACATAATAACATTTCGAGTATATTTTACTAATTTTAGTCATTTTCAGGAATAATATGAATTCCTGATGACGATGTATACGGCAGTCGAAAGCTAGAATATAAAAAAATGATCAGTTTCGGAGTTGCCGCGTTGTTTTGGCCCACAGTTGCAGTTTTCGTAACTTCTCCCATTTAGGTGTGAAATATACGTTTACAAAACCTTTCCATCTTCAAAAAGCTTGAAACTTGATTAAAATGTCTATTTCTTTCAGTTGTCGACTGCATGGCGTGCCATTTTTTGTGGCATTTGTCACTCCAGTTATTTTAATCCTCGTTGGAAATATCGTGGTTTTCTGCCTTGTTATTCGGTCATTACTTACTTCCGGTAAAAAAGTGACCTCCAGCCTCAAAGTATCAAGCTTGCAGCAAGCTCGGCAAGGGATTGCGATCATGGTACTGCTCGGGTTAACCTGGCTGTTTGGTTTTCTTGCAATCGACGATGCTAAACTAGCATTTCAGTGGTTGTTTTGCATTTTTAACTCACTTCAGGGATTTTTGGTATTCATATTATTTTGCATTTTGCCCGCTGGAACAAGAAAGCACCTGCGAAAACTTTGTAGCCAAAAGAGCAGTTATCAAATTCGGGAAGACCCATCCACTGGCAGCACTGCCATTGGGAAAATGTATTCAGTGAATGATCAATGCTCTGCGTCGGGAGATGAACTTAAAACATTGGATGAAGAAAGCAGTTGCTGACATGGCTTTATATAGAGCTAAGAAAGAATCTAATAATAATGGAAACTTTATTACTTTCAATAATATATATATATATA